ATGCTGAAAACTGCTGAAGCTGAAATTTGGAGTCTCGATTTAAAAATATAAGCCCTGCTAAAATTCACATATACTTGTTAATTATCAATTCTAACCCTAAATACCAACTCAACTATAAAAAAAAACAGGAAAAAAATATTTCAAAAAATTTAAAATTCATATCAAAATAGATCTGAATTTCAACATCAGCTGTTTTTAGCATCAGCTATGACATTAAATTAAATAACTTACCAATATTGGTAATCAAGGTTTGAAACTTTTTTATTCTCATTCAAAAAACAAAAAATCATCATTATATGATTTTGTTTGTGACCTATATTATGACCATCACCCCAAGTTTTAATTTAATAGTATCTCCTGAAAGAAGAATAGGTAGAGAGAGAGAGAGAGAAAGAGAGAGAGAGAGAGAGAAGACTGCTTCCAAATAGGAACAAGAACACTTAAAATAAATTTGATAGATCTATAAACACCATTTTTGATTTCTGATTGTTTAAGACTAGGTTAACTATTTATGGCTTCATCAGTGCTAAAAGTTTCAATTCTAATTTTTCATTCATCAGATTTGTTATTTCTATTCTTTGTGCTACAACTTGATACTCCTAAATAAATTGAGATTCAACAGCAATCAATCAATGATAACCATCATAGGACAGTAAAGACTCATTGTATGCTCGGACAGTGGCATCCAATTTAAGAAGTTCCATTTCTTTATTAAATGGTTGATAATTTAACTTGATTCTTTCATTATTAATGTTTAACTAAACACTACGTACATGAACAACGGGCTGTTTATCTTTCATAACCAATCGGTGTCATGTTAATAGTATTGAGAGTTCTTTTTCAGAATCCCTTCCAAGAGCAACAAGTCATTTATATTGCCCTGATGTTGATTGTATACTTGAAAATGGTCGCTTCTTAATATTTTTTCATTAAGCATTGCGGGTTGCTCATTCAGATTTCCACAAGTATCAGGCTTCAAATACCATTCAGTCATCTTTTTTTTATCTTTAGGAATGCCTATTCCACTCTGGTAGCAATTTCCAACAATCAATTGTCTATTGGAATTTCCACCCTCAGCAAACTTTAGGTACCATTCAAATGCTTTTTTTTCATCTTTACGGACACCTATTCCATTTTGATAGCAATTTCCAATACTTAATTGTCCATTTGAATTTCCACCCCTAGCAGATTTCAAATAGTATTCGAATGCCTTTTTTTCATCTTTAGAAATACCTATTCCATTGTAATAACAATGTCCAACATTTAATATTCCATCAGAATTTTCATTACTGGTGGATTTTAAATACCATTCAAATGCCTTTGTCTCATTTTTAGATACACCTATCCCATTTTGGTAGCAATTTCCAACAATTAATTGCCCATTGGAGTTTCCACCTCTAGCAGATTTCAAGTACCATTCAAATGCCTTTATTTCATTTTCACGAATGTCTACTCTATTTTGGTGACAATTTTCAACACTTAATCGTTCATCGAAGTTCTCGCCCTCAAAAGCCTTTTCCCCATCTTTAGGAACGCATATACTACTTTGGTTGCTTATAGCATTGAATTGTTCAATAGAATTTTCGCCTTCAATTAGCTTTTTGTCAATATTGCAAACTGAATTGGATTTATATTTCTGTCTTTTATTCGGGCTTAAGTTTCTATCGTATACTATCAACTCAACGTAATCTTTGTGACAAAGTTGGTCATATAAACTAAGCTCCATCTTTAAATTTAAAGAAGCCGGACTTCGCATAGCTTTAAGCAAAAGGTCTGGCGTTAATTGGCGAAACTTTTCTTTAAGATCATCTTTGCCGCATATTGCACATGGACCTGAGTTTTTACGTGGTCTACCTGCTGACATTGTTACTAACAATAATTTAGGATCTTAAGAAATGAATTTAGGATCTTAAGAAATGAATTTAGGATCTTTGAAGCCAGGACCTTGTTGAATATAAATACGAAATATAAGGTTTGAAGTAATATAATATATTAAAAGTTATTTTGTTTTTATCAGACACCAAATTTTATTAGTATATTCGATAAATTAACCAATCAGCGTGAGATTTGCAATAATCACATCGGAAATAAATCCGCCCATATGCTGGATCAGGGGATCGAACATTCATAATTTGATTGGCTGATCATAGTCTGCTTATGCGATTGGTCAAATTTTAGCTTATTTAAATTTTCAAATCTGGTAGCATAAATGAACATAATGATAATGATAACGATAAAATTATCTTGATTTTTTTCTCTAACATTGGGAATATGAAAGAGAAGAAGGCAACCTCTTTAAATCCTGTAAAAAAGAATAAAAAATTGAATCAAAAACATGACGTTACGGACCCACGTTTTGAACATGTACGAAAGGACCCGAGATTTATACGGCCCAGGCGAAAAGACGTAAAAATTACCCTTGATCCTCGATTTGCACACATTTTTAGTAGTAAAGAGTTTACAGAGACGCGTAAGTTAACACTATTTCCCCTTGCATGGTTTATTTGGATACTCTCTTTGTTGAATTTATTATTTATACTGTAATTATTTAATAATTTTTTAAGCCAAGGTTGATAAATATGGACGATCTACTTCATCGGATAAAATAGCAGGTGAATTAAGAAACTTTTACATGCTAGATGGGGCAGACAGTCTTCCGCACGAAAATCAAAATAATAAACTATCAAAGAATATCATTGATTCTTCTGATGATTCCGAAAGGAGTGACCATGAATCAAGTGAAGATGCCTCACCAGTTTTAGATCTCGCTAGAGGGGAAGGTGTGATTTCTGAGTCATCAGACGATGATGCTGATGATGATGTTGATGACGGATGTGAAGTTAACGTTGAACAATCTGATGAGCAGATACCAATTGGGGAAGAGACGCATAGATTTGCTGTGGTCAATCTTGATTGGGATAATGTAAAGGCTTCAGATCTAATGAAATTATTTAATGGCTTCAAAAAAGATGGGTCTGTTATACATTCAGTTAAAATATATCCTTCAGAGTTCGGAAAAGAAAGATTAGCAAAAGTATTTATTTATGTGATATAATATTTCAATTTAATATTAAGTAATTCATTTAAATTAAGTATTAAATTTAATGTATTTATTGTAGGAAGCATATGAGGGTCCACCAAAGGAAATATTTATGCCAGCCGATAATAATTCTGAGGATGAAGAAATTAATGAAAAAACAATAATTAAATGTGATACGGGCGAAGAGTTTGACCATGAAGCCTTGAGAAAATATCAATTGGAGCGATTAAAGTATTAATCAAAGACTAAATCATTTTTTACTAAATTATTATAAATGTATAATGTTTATTATTTCCTATGGCAGATATTATTATGCAGTCGTTGATTGCGATACAGTGGAAAACGCACGTCATATATATAAACAATGTGATGGTACAGAGTTCGAAAGTACGGCAAATTTTCTCGATTTGCGCTTTATACCTGATGATATGACATTTGTAGATGAGACAAAGTATATAATATATATATATTATAATTGAAACTTAATTTTTTAACCACAAAGCTTTAATTTTAGCAAAAAAAAAATTTTTTTTTTTTGTTCTCATTCAGAGACGAATGTTTTCAAGCACCAGACGTCTATAAACCTGTGGATTTTGTTACGGGAGTGAGAATTAATATTAATTTTTTTAATGAATATTTTCGTATATCCTACCTCCCTAAATGCAATACCTCTATGTATTTTGTCGTTTATAAATGTAATTTATCTCTGCACTTCCAGAGCTAAACCTTATGATGTACGTTTAGGGGGTCGGGTAGTATTTTGTATATATTTATTTATATGTATTTATTTATCGTGTTTCTATGTTCATTACAGGTATTGCAACATTCTGATGTAAAATTAACTTGGGATGAAGATGATCCAGACCGTGTCAGGATAGTACGGCGGAATTTTTCAAGGAAGGATATTGATGAGATGGATTTTAAAGCATATCTTGCTTCACCTAGCGAAGGATCTGATGAAGACGCCGAAACACCTTTGCATAAATACAAAAATCTTGTTAACGAAGCAGATAATGATCATTCTGATGATGTGGATATGGAGATTACATTTACTCCGGGACTAAACGAAAAAGCTACAGACCAAGTATTGTATAATTGAATCATTCTTCTTGTTATGTATTCATTAACGCTAATTAATTTGGTAAATAGCCCATTGAAGAGGAAACCACTATAGAAAAGTATAAACGTAAGCAACGCGAAAAAAGGAAAGCAAGAAAAGCCGCAAAACAAGCGAATATATCTCAGAGCATTAACGATGGTAAAGAATTTCTATTCATAATTTTAGTGAATAATCCTTTATTATTAATATTATTAATATGCTAATTTTTATATTTATGCAGATATTTCTGATGATGATAATACTACTATTGGATTGGATGATCCGTTCTTTATAAACCCAAAGAAGCGTAAACAAAAGATATCTTACGAAGAGCGCATCGAAAAAGACAAAAAGAGAGCCGAATTAGAACTTCTTATGGATGATGAAGGAAATAAACATTTTGATATGAAAGAGATTATCAAAAATGAAAAAAAGAGGAAAAAGAGGAATCAGAAAGATGTTCAAGAAGACTCTTTTGAAATTAATGTCGATGATTCTCGTTTCGCAGCTCTTCACGAATCTCATCATTTCGCAATAGATCCTACTAACCCTCAGTATCCTTATTTTTTCTGGATTTATTATTATTTGAACGATTAAATGTAATTATGATTCCTTGATCGATATTAACTAATTTTAAATAGATTTAAAAAGACAAAAGCAATGTCTAAATTGCTGGAAGAACAACGACGTCAAACTAGATCAAGAGAAAAATCAACAGACATAAGTTAGTAACGAGGTGCGTTGTTTTTTCACAGATTCGATTAGCATTACTATTTCATATAATGAATTCTGAAACTGTAATTAACATAAAATCCTTATTTAGTATAATACATTTTGATTTCAAAAGCCTTTCGCTCCGTCCAAATATCCAAGCACGTTCAAGTATGTTAATATTTATAATTTCTTTAAATCAAACCAAAAATGCCAATAATCTGGGATATACACATTTAATATATAGAATATATTATTTAAAAAAAGAAAACTTTTGAATAAATTTTTAAAATTTTAAAAAATTTATTTAATCTGAATTAAAGTTATTTAAATTGTTATCGATATTGGTTATGCATTAACAAATAATGAAAAATTTGGTTAAATTATTGGTTGATATATACTATGAGTAGTCAGTATTGTATTTCACAGATCAAACAAAATTAAATAGGGTTTAAATCACTTGTATTATTATAAAAACAGATGCGATTAGTAACCTGATTATTAAAACATTTTTGGTTTAAATAGAGATTAATCGGATTACTAGTTTAATAGTTATAAATTAGCATAATTATTAACTTAATTCTATTTAAGCCAAAAAAAATTTAACAATTAGAGTTGACTACTTTTATAATAATACAATCTGATTTAAACTATATTTAATTTTGCTTAATAAATTTATGAAACAATTAAATAGATCTTATTGTACCACTCTAACTGATTCAAATAATTTAAATATTAATCAAATTATAGTTTTAATAGCAATTATTATCGTGCTGATGCTGGAATTTGGGTCTAGATTTGAAAATATAAGCCCCGCTAAAGTCCACATATACATTTTAATTATTAATTCTAGCCCAATCCTAAAAAAAACATCCAAAAAATTTAAATTTTAAAATTTCATATCAAAATAGATCCAAATTATACCTGTGGCCGAATATTTCGGCCATTTCTGCCACATGGCAAATGTTTAGAGTTATAAATGTGGTAGAAATCAGGCTCATATATGTTAAGTTAGATCCACAGAAACTTACGCAAGATCTTTGATATTTCGGCTAATTTCAGCAAACTCTGGAATTTTCGGTAATCCGTACTTAATATACAGCTGAAACTTCAAAGGTCTAGTTAAAATTATTGCTGGTACAGCCGAAACTTTCTGAAGTTCACTAGAATTGCAGTAAGTCTGCCCATACTATTGAGACCTAAATAAACTTCTTGCAGACTTTACTTTCAGAGTCCGCAATGTGACCAAAATGGAAAAAAATTACGGTCAAAGGTATAGTCCAAATTTCAGCATCAGCCACGACAATTATAATAAAGTTTTAAGTAAATATATTTAATTGACATTCTACCATATACTGTATTGAAAAAAAAGTAGATAAGAAATTCTTTTTAATTTTTTTTAATTTAAAATACTTCAGCGATTATTAATTCTAACCAGAATTATAATAAAAATTTTGTATCAAATTTGGTCATTTAAAGTTCAGTAAATTAATTTTGACCTCTTACAAATTCTCCTTTATATATGAGTGTCGCCAAAAGAAAACCCGACAATCTAAAAATAGATCACATAGATCACTTAAGGGCAGGACGGGTATTATGGCGCGGGAGGTATTGTGGCGCACTCATGTTTTTTTGAAATATCTTGCGATCCACTGACTAGAATTGAACAATTTTGGTACCATTCGATTCGTCTTATC